CTAGCCTCCTCAGACCAACACTGCACAGTGCGTGAGGTTGGTTTATGTTCCCTGCTCCTCTGAGTGTATGAGGGAAGAAGGAGAACAGAGGAGTGATCGGACTTTCCAAATGGAGGTCTGAGACTGGACCTGTAAGCTCCCTTCACATTGCTGTAGCAGTGATCCAGGATCTGTGCTCCTCTTGTAGCTCGAGTCACATGTTGGTAGAAATTTGGGAGTACAGTCTTTAAATTACATTTGTTAAAATCCCCAGCGACAATGATCACTGCATTAGGATGAGCAGTCTCGTATTTATGAAGGATCTCGCTCAGATCCTGTAGTGCTACAGTATACAGTAGTCCGCTCGTGGGTGGATGTAAACAGCGCATAAAAATATCACAGAAAACTCCCACGGAAGATAAAAAGGGCGACAGCTCAAGACCAGGCATTCCAGATTGGCAGTACATGTTTGGTTCACGATGCGAGTATCCGTGCACCAGCGCTGATTAATTAAAAAGCACACACCTCCACCTCTGGATTTCCCCGTGGTCTCCTTATCTCTGTCCGCGCGGTGAACGGTGAATCCCGGGGGCTGAACGGTGAATCCCGGGGGCTGAACAGCAGAGTCCGGGACGTTCGTGTGGAGCCACGTCTCGCTGAGACAGAACACAGCGCAGTCTCGGGCCTCTCGCTGGCACTGGATACGACACAGGAGCTCGTCTGTCTTATTGGGCAGAGACTGTACATTCGCCAGGTAGATGGAGGGCAGAGCGGTCCTGCAGGAGCGGCATCTCACGAGCAGACCGCCTCGTTTTCCCCGGTGTCTGCGCCTCCTACGTCGGCTCCCGGTACCCAGCTCCACACCGCGGAGAGCACGATGGAGACGCCCAGTCCCCCCGCTCTGTTCGCGGCCATTGCCGCGGCCCGCCTGCCATGTTTGACGGGCCTCACGAGTGGGGCACTCAATGAAGTCCAAGCACCTCAGTTCGGGTAAGACCTGCGACACTCCGCAAGCTCGGTCCCGAATGTAGAGAAGTGTCTCTCGGTCGTACTTCACGGTGGCAAGTGTATCACAGACGAATATAAACAACATAGAACAGACAGTGCACACCAGAGCTCTTACTGAGGCGCCCTGACCCGGCGCCATCTTGCTCGTTAAATGAATGGGGCTGGTGTCGGCTAACGCATGCGCAAATGCATTTTTTCACATGTTCCTGTGGGAGGGGCTGCCTGGGTTCATTTTGAAAAAGCCCCATAGAGGCTAAAAGTGATGGCACATTAGTTTCAACAGCGGAGATATGCATGACTACGATATGCATGACTACAGTCTGAAGCCAGGATATATGTATATTTTAAATGTAATACGTACAATAAAATCATGTAAAATATTGTACGATAATCTTAATTTATCCATTTATTGTTTTCCAGCAATAAAAACAGTCCGAGTTGATTGTCTTTCATAATGTCAACAATTGTGAATAATCGTAAAATCATAATATTTTCTCTCACAATAATCATGGCAACCCTAGTCGCTCCCGAGCTGTAGGTTGGGGACCCCAGCAGTAAAGGTACTTCAAAATATATAGGAATATATATTGGGAATATAGGATTTTCCCAAATTTTAGGGAGGAACCGCCCTCTCCACTGTTTGAACAAAACTCTCTGGTCTTATTTGACGAGCACGTATCACCAGAATGATTGGGAGGACCAATAGTCTTGATGATCCACCCGGAAGTAGAAAATCCTCCTTTAAACCTATAAGAAGTAAAATTATGGCTAACTTTGCAACTTGTCTTGTTTAGTCCCATGTAATTGTTTTGTTAAGGTCTCATGGTTATTACTTTGGCTTAGATGTTACACAAGCATTACCCTTATTTATCTATTTTAAACTGAGAGAAGTAGGTGAAACTACTAGGCCACATTAGATCAGTGGAGAGATGAATGAGGATGTGCCTTTTGGCATAAGCATCATTCTTTGTCAACAATAGACCTACTTATTAACAGTACATCGTTTACTGTATATTGTATATTGATTGCAAAAGTCTGAAGACTTGGTGGAATCTCTAGTTTCTATCGTGTGTGGAAAACAGTTCATTCTAAATGTGGAGAGCAAGCTGCGAGAGTGCAATCACCTCTTGGTGTCCGGAAAATGATGACGCCCTATTAGATTCGCTGAGCGTGAAAGATCTCATTGAAACGGCAATAACATCGGGTCAGAATGATTTTGTATACAACACCTCTCTAACAATTCCCCAGCCATGAGCCTCATTCTGACAGACAGGAGTGAACGAGGGAGGAAGTCAATCAAATCAAATAATTACGCCAACGGAGATTTCTATTTGTCAGTATTTCCCTTGCCACCCAACCTGCCCATTATAACTGATCAATTTAGCTGGACAAACACCTTAATAATTGACTTCTGTGCAGCACAACACACAAAGAATTGACCATTAAATCAATTAATAGTACAATTAGCTTTTGAAACTTCCCAGAGGAGTCAAGAAAAAAAGCAGGTCAAGACAATGTGTAAACTATCTATAGTTATGACATTTCAAAAAAGGAAGTGAAAGATGCCCAGCCAATTATACCTACAAATGCACAATAAGGAAATCTGGAGTTAAGTACCCAAGGGCAACAGGTCTGCTCTGAGCTAATAATGGATAGGTCAAATGAATTGGACCAGATTTTACAGAATCATTGAAAGAAGAAGAATAAGAAGAAGGTGGTACTTTATTCATCCGGAAATGGGGAAATTTCAGTTTGATGCATACACATACACATGATATACTCATATACATCAAGGCAAGCAGCGAAATCACTTCCGCGCTCCTAATAGGCAAAGTGGGTTAAGTGTCTTGCCCAAGGACACAACGATAGCAGACATCAGTGGAGTTGGTGGAGAAGGTCTCGAGGTGGGCTCAAAACCCACGACCTTCGGGCTCAAAGGCCAATGCTCTACCAACTGAGCCACTGTAGCTATAATGAGCCTTGGTGCATATTGAGATGTATATGGCTGCCTATGTGGATCATCAAACTTAACGCAAGCTAAGATGTGCTCAGAGCAAAAATGTGTGTTGTCTGTTGGAGTGTAGTTCTTCCTTAGAATTTCGGTATTGTAAAAATGTAGTTACTGGTGCCGTTTTCATTTCTTCATTTCTTTCACTGAAAGATCTCAGCCACTGAAAGATCTCAGCTCCTGTGGACTCACCACCTGCAGGAGGATCAGTGAGGGGCTGGTGCTCTGTGACTGGGTGCAGCTCTGACTGCCACCCCCCCGACCCAGAAATGGATTAAGGGGAAGAAAATGGATGGATGGATGGTGCCGTTTTCAATTGTTGGAGCAATTAAACGCACAGAAAAAGTATATTTCTTTGGCAGTAACTTTGGTGACAATCAAAACAGCTCACCTACAGCTGACTACGCACAGCAACCCTCCACTGTGCAAAGCAATATGTAGACAAGATGATACTGCACAGGAACAGTTTTAGCAGGTACTTAAAATTGTGCCTATTGTCTCCATTATCATTAGCGCAGATGTGACTAAGTGGTGGTATGTTAATCATTTATGTGTCCAGTCCACAGAGCATTACTGCGCAGCGACACTCAATATTTAGCAAAGCCATGTTGCATCCTTTAATGAGCATAACATGAACTGCAGCATGAAGAAGCTCTTTTCTTTGAAACCACTAAAGTCATTTGATCATCTTTAAAAGGCAACTCTCTTTATGTCATAATATCATAGGCTTTCTCTCTGCAGTTTAAAAGCAAATTTGACAGGTGCCCTTTGTATTCTGGAAGATTCTTATTTAAAAGAAAATGGGAAAAATAAGTTTGCATTCTTATAATAAATGGATGTAGAAACTGATATATTTCTACAATTGTGTTTGTGTTTTTGTCAACTGTCTGTGTTCTTGTCAACTTAATTCCTTTATTGTATGACAAATGCAAATGCTTCAGCACATTTCTGTTGGACTGACATAATATCCCAATACTATCTATTAGCTCATTGCTAGTTTAGTCAATGACGTAACAGGGAAATAATAATGCTTCTGGGACATCTCATGTATTGGTAAGATGGCAATAACTGCAGTAGTCACGGTGGTGGGGTGCAAAGCTCGGCGTCAGCTCTGGCAGTTTGCTCCACAGGCCAGAGCAGCGTTCGAGGACAATGCAGCGCTGTAAAACCTCCTCTCCATCACTCATCTCATCCATTTGTCCTGCGCTCTGTTTGTATTGATCGGCCCACTTCCCTCTCGCGCTCCAAATGTCTGCAAGCCTTTCTGTGTGCGTCTGAACCTCGGCAAAGTACATTATCCAGTAACATTCAGACTTACAGTCTAAGAATTACCAAGAGAGGAGGATCATACACTGCTTTAATGATGGATCATTTATAATTTAATCCCACCATCTGCAAGATGTGTTTGGCAATTCCGAACATTAAACTACAACCGATCAGACGAAACAACCCAACCACAACCAGTGTCTGGGAGAGTATTTTTAAAAAGCAATTAGACAATACATACATTAGTGCAACTACTTTTGTAACATTACTTGGTCCAATGAAAGTACTGTATTCTGAATTCTTGGTGTACTTTCTTGATACACAATAAGTGATGTGACAACTTTGTATTTGTACTCTTTTAATGTATTTTTCTCATTTAAAAAAAGGAATTATAGAAAAGTAGTATTCTGTATCTATGCTTGGTATTCTGTGAATCCCCAACACCAACCACAATGAAATAGTAACGTTGATGGAGCACGTCAGAACTTTTCTCACATGTTCCAGCACCTGCTTGTTGCCATGGAGATTGTATTGCTTTGCTTGAAAATTAATAATGCATCAGACACTTCACATTATTAATTCACTCCATACACAATGGCAGTAAACTGTAGTAGTAGCTGCCCCCTTCCAGAGTAACCCAGCTTTTTGACTGTTGAAAAGTTAAAAAAACTACATATTCTGATTGTTGACTGTAGCTTTGCAGGTGAAATGGCACACATTCTGTCATTATGTCACTCACCTTGAGCAATTGCAATGGACTCGAACTTGTGCAGCTCTCTGAGGAGACAGGTCCGCTCAGTTGGATGTAGACTATAAATAAACTCCTTTGCCCCTTGGGGAGAGTTGAGGGGCTCCACGGACTCCTTCAGAGGATGCGTGCCCAGGTTGCACCTCTGCACGACCATGGAGGCGGGCGGCTGTGGCTGCGTGTGGACCATGGGAGCTCCAGCGCCTCTGTGGTGACTGCTGAGTCCGGCCCGGGCACGCAGAGAGAGCCGCAGAGCTGTTCTCAGGCTGGGAAGCATCTCTCAGGAGGGTCAAGGATGGAAACTGGAGGGGCAGAGGAGAGTGTGACCCTAGAGTCATCACTAGCTAAACTCATGGCATGCTGCTTCACACTGATGCTAGTCATAAACACTTAAATACAGGTTATTACAAAGGCATTACAAGGGCATTACATCACACGGAATACTTTTAGATTGTGAACTGTGAAGCTAAGAGTATGGTCAATGACGGCGGACAGCAGAAACTAACCTTTACTAGAGCAATAGGACGCACCTCAGTCGATGGTCCGCTGTCCCGTCCAGCAGCCTCCCCAACAAACCTTCACAGAACAGCGCCTCTGCCCCCGCTCATATGTCGCCACTTGTCTTTGAGTGGTTCACAGTGAGCTCCAGCGACAAAACTCCCAAACAGCGCTGCTATGTAGGTCCAAATCACATATTTGCGCTCGTAGTCCCTGCTGCTGTAAGCTCTGGCTGACAGGAGGCTGTGTGAGGCGGTGGGAGGGAAGGACAGCTCTGGAAAATGTCTCCAATCACACATCAGCGTCAGCCTGTGCGTAACGATGACGCAGAGATGCACGCAAGGTGGAGAGAGGAGAGAGCATCTGCCTCCCAGTATTATTAGTATTAAGTAGTATTGTAGTATTACCGTACTGCACTGAACTGTGAACAAAACATGACATATACCATCGTTTGAATCTGAAAATATAAGCAACAATGTTAGGTTTTAGTAATCTAGGGTTCTAGAAAATATAATAAATATAAATAACAATACACAAAAATATGATGTGTAACCTAAACAATATTTTGGCCGACATAAAAATGCATGCTTTTTTTATTCACACTACATGAAATATGTCAGCTGGGCGTGTCCAAGCCACAGTCTCACCAGGTTAGTATGTTGGTGAAGCAAAGGAGCTTTTGAGCTGGTCACACCCGCGGAAAATATGAGAGCATGTGCAGTCGATATTTGAAGAACACAACATCTAAAATAGCCCACATACTGACGCATAGTGTCATGTTTAAAGACCACCAGTATCATCCATGAATCTTGTAATACATTAAAAGTGGGAGAAAAAACAAACAAAGATAAAATAAAATAATGAAAACAAAAAAATGCCTGGAGAACAGCGACATCTGCTGGTATCTCGAGAATATTGACAAAGTCCAGACAGGCTAGTGTTGCGTGATTAATAAAATAAATACATTTATACAAGTTCATGTTTAACGTTTTATTGTATTGCTAAAGATGACATTACACAAACTTAACATTTTATACGTTTTGAAACTGAACAGGGACCAACGAGAGATCAACTCTCATCTGACAAAGAGACAAAATTAACTACTAATAGAGATTCAATCGTCCTCACACCCCTATAATCATTTACTTAATTATTTTAAAATGTTCATTACATATGTTGTTCTTTAAATGTTCAGTATGGTATGTTTATACACTGACATTTGGCAATTTTTTTTTACTTTACTATACTGCTGTTACAACTTTTTCATCTTTAAGTCTAAATAAGGAACTATATTCTTTCTTGTCTGTCATATACACTACAATAACATCTGAGGCATATAATAAACTTTTTAGCTTTTATACTTACAGGAACAGCACGTAACTTGTTTTTGTACTTTTTGCTAATACAGTCATAGTTACATAGTGGGGTTTCTGTCTGTAGATAACTAGAAAACAAACACCCCCCCATAGAAATGTGGCACTTTATAAATATTTGAAATAAAGGACGCAGGTGAATTGTGGCACAATAGTAGGTGTTTTGATCACATCAAATGTTTATGCATGGTGAAAAGAAGTCTCTTGCACTGAATGAATAAAAGTATAAAAAATAAAGACTGAGGAAGGCGGATCAATGCAAAGATTATCAAAGAAATAAATTAAAACGTGAGTTACTGGACATGTTTTGCTAAACAATATTTACATCTGTATACCTCAAAGTGGCTACACTCCCACAGTGCTTGAACTGAAATGCAACTCACCTCCAGACAAACTCAAATAGTAACTGCTTTTAGCCGAGTCTTGCTGGACAGTGAGAATCTGTTTCACGTGTCAAATACATATTTAACGGTTCTAGATTTGTAAGATGTCATGAACGTACACAATAATGATTGCCTTGCTTTACGGTATGTTGAGTACTCAGCCTTTTGAACGAAACAAGAATAGCTTCTGTGACAAATAAAAAAAGAACTCAAAACTCATGCTACATATATTGATGAAAATGTGTCATATCAACAAAGGCAGCTTATTTCTGTTCCAATCTAAAAGGTGTTGTGTTCTCAACAAAAGCTATGTTACAGTGTTGTCTTATTTTAGTGTGTGTAGAATATAAAATGGAATTGAATGTTGTGTTTATGGATGATATAACAATTACAGAAGAGCTGTGAGCATTATGTATAATTCACAGAAATAGATGAATGGCACTCAAGGGACGATAGGAGCATCTATACACTCTATAAAGGCACAGAAACATGCTAATTATTTACAACATGAAAACTAAACAATAAAATAACCAAAAGAGTCAATGCTGTGAAACTTAAGCACACTGTCTTATTTTTGTTGAAAGTAAGATGAGTAGTTCTATGTAATGTTTGTGGCTCTTTGCATTTGTGCTCATGATTCATGAGCTAGTGACATTTATCAAGGCCTCTTCACAGCCAACCCAAAAGCATCACATTTGGTGAGCGGCCAGAAAGACCATGCCACCTCCCAGATCTCGGACTCCTACAAGGCGGACACACAATTAGTACTTTGTGCTCTTGTGGCTGCCCCAGATTCTGCCCTCAGTGACAGCAGGAAAACACAAAGATTATTTGTCTCAGTGAGAGTCCATTGTCAGCAATGAGTGAACATATGTTTATGTGCTCACTACCTAAAGGGCTGAGGAAACGTTTGACGAAAAACATAGATGGTAAATGTGTACTCCTGCAGCAGCCTTTGACTTTAGTCTCTTTTCCTTAATCACAGTTTTCGATACACCTTTGCGTGGCCAACTATTGTGACTACAATGTTTGTTATAATGAAAAAGACAGAGGGCAAATAATATTTGCTTATTTACAAAAGTATAATTCAACATTCTCATCTAGATGCCTGGAACAATTAATCTGATTCCTCGCAGAAAAGAGTGGAAAAGGTTCACTTGGCTTCCAACTGATACATTTAGGCAATGCGAGGGGCTGAGCGGTCATTAGTCAGAGTTCTTTTGAGTTTGACCCCTTTGCGAATAGCAACAAGCATGTTGCCATCATTTTCTCCTGACTCTCCCATCAGCTCTCCAGCTCCCTCCTCTGGTCCTGCCTGATTAGGCATGTGCTGATAGTTAGCTAAACTTGTGGCAGGAGGGTTAGTGGATGCCTGTCCGCTCCAGGACCCCATCTGAAGAGGGACTTCTTCTCCAGCAAACATCTGATAATTTGGGCTCTCATCACCTCGGACTCTTTCTGTATTTCCATTCACAGCAGCTGTCATGTCCGGTACAGTAGGGATTTTCACTGGGACAACCGGTGTGCGGATAGGAATAGGGCCTGTACCAGCTACAGAGGCAGAACGCCGAGCCGAGGGTTTTGAAGGAGTTCTGCGGATTGTAGCAACTCCTGGGGTGACAATGACTGGACCATGGCCCGAAGAGTATGTGCCATTATGAGTACTGGAACCAGAGTAATAGCCCTGATTTGAAGAAGCTGTGAAAGCAAATAATCACACAAGTGTTATGGATGCAATGCATTCTACCAATTCAATTTAGACAGTTATAATGACCTGTGGGCATGGATGGATAAGTCCCATTAGATTGATAATGAGCTGAGTGCATGGGTGTAGGAGGATAGCCTCCCTGACCAGGGAAAGGTGCCTGTGTGCTGGGCAGACCAGCTGTTGAAGCGGGCCGCTTTGTCTGGAACATGCGTCTGTAGGACTGTCCAATGTCACTATTCCTCGGAATAGTCGATGATTTATCATAATCAGCCTGCTCTGCCTCTTGGTCCCCAGCCATGGAGAAGTAGTCATAATCTGAAACTACGCAGATATTGTTATTTATATTGATATGATATTGTTGTTTCATGATAAAAAGAGCAGTTGTCAAACCTTGTGAAGGTATTGTATCCTCAGAGCAACATGGTGTGTTAGTCTGGGTGCTGTAGCCACTGGAGCACTGGATCGATTCTCGACTGGACCGCTGGCAGTCCAACTCTAGACCTCGTGATAAGGCCATTGCAAGTTCCTCATGTGGCAAGAAGTCTCCAGCCTGAAAGTTGATAAAACAATTAGCACAGTCAGAAACAGAGAGGTGATCTTAAAAATATTTCTTACAGGATTTTTACAGGTTAAACATATTTAAAAAATTATCCATGTATAGATACTATTACGAGCAACACGCTACATTGTATACATGGATGCGGGAAGGGATTCAGCAACAATAAATGCTAGGTTTATCCTCCAAATTAAGCACAAAATAAAATCATAATACAAATCAGCTCGGTTTATATCCACCCTGCTTATTTGTCATCCAGTTCACTCAGCTTAAGAGGTCATCCCTGCTGGCACTATTTTACAAATTAAACAGAATTCTTATTACAGCCTGCAGCTAATATCAGACCTTGATTTGTGACACAACTGTCCTGTTGGCCTCCTCCATAGAGTGGTGTGGAGTTTGTAGAACCGCAGGAGCAGATATGAGGGCGGATGTCAAGCCGTCATCATAATGAATCACACTTTGAGTCCCATTAGGATCTATCACAGGCAGACTCTCCTTGTCTTTCTTCCTCCTCAGAGTATTGACCATTGGCTGGTCATAGGGCCCTGGTTTTGCCCAGTCCTGCAACAAAAACAACAATTTTACTTTCAGAAATTAATTTCCATTTTATATACAGCACCTCCATTTATATTTTGTAAGATTTTTTTTTTGGGGGGGGGGGGGGAATTTCAAACAAGCAACAGTATGTACATTTCTGACACGTTTTATTTCCATGAACATAAAAAGTGAAAAGCATGAAGTACAAGCATTCTAATGTATATTCACAGAAAGGACAATTTTTTTGTATTTTTAGTTAAAAAACATAAGCAATAGTATATAATTTCTTAGTTTATTTTTCAGCCATGTGGTGCCAGCTGTATACAGGTACACCCATGAATGTACATGTTGATCAAAAATGAACCTTGATTTTATAAATTGAATTAATCTTGTAGTAAATTCTACTGGTTCGTTATTTAAACATTGCATCTTGATACAAAAATATGCACAAACCTTCCAACTGGGGACACGGGATGATGGCAGCATGGGAGAGCCCAAAGTACAATACTGGGGCAATTCTGGCAGCAAGGCCGAGGTGGGACGGGACCATGAGCGAGGGGCAGATGAGGTGGAGGTGGAGGTGGGTGAGGATGGGGGGTAAAATGGAAAGGCTGAGCCTGACCCATTACTATGCAGGTATGGGGAGCTTGAGGGGCTGCAGTGGTCATAGCCGTTGGGTGGCTAGGAGCATGAAGAGTGGGAGGACAAAACAGAAAAATACAGAAAAACATAACAAAATGAAAATCAACACAAATGGATTTGTGCAAAAAAACAAAAACAAACATTGAACAAAATGGGACAAAAATATCATAGGTATAATGAATTATTTGACTTGTACTACTGACTGGCTCGATATATATATTTCTTGCAGAAGTTTGGTTGTGGAACTTGTTGTAGATTGAGATAATAATGTTTAGGGATTTTAAGTGTTTTTCTGATGATGCAATCACTGTTCTGTAACTTCTGTTTTATTCTTTGTTAACCAGTCAGAAACATCAGTAAATTGAGCCAAATAATCTTGTCTGGTCAAGCAAATAGATGGAAATTCTGAATTCACATTCACATTCTGAATTCAAGCCATTATGTCGGTGTCTTTATCCTAGAGGACATGTCTGGTAAAAAGAAGGCGGCTTGGCAGTGGCATGTTTCACCTGGTCAGTGTGCAGCATGTCAGTAGCAGAGCTCAGAGCGGTGGAGCAGTCACTGTGTAGCGGTCCAGTCTCTGACATCTCAGAGGAGTTGGAGCCAGGACAGGGCTGCAGCAGGAGGGTCAGAATAGAGAGGAAAAGCCCGTGTCAGCAGGTAGACAGAAGAGTGGTTTGTTACTTAGTATGCAAGGAACACTATCCCCAGGACCACAGCCAAGAGAATATCAAAGCATATAGCGACTTATATACAAGGTGGATAGGGACAGAAATAATTGCGAAGGCATTAGCAGCAGCAAAGTTGTGGTGTCTGATGAAAAAAAAGCACAGACAAAGCAACTCATCTCTTTGGCATGCGTGGGAGGAATCGTATCCGCCAAAGCAATCAAGTTAAATAAGAGGCCTGTCATATTGCATTTAAAGAGCACTTTAAGCGAATGGTTGCCATGATTAAGTTGTTTATGTAATGACACTTAATCCATGCCTACTGGAATATTGTCTTCTTTCTTGACACGTACAGTAGTAGTTAATGAAAGCACATTAGAAAAAGGCAATAGGCTGGTGTTAACGGAAACAGGGCGGAAAAAAAGCTTTGAAGTGTGCTCAGTGAAGCAGCACCAGTTTTTTTTTTGTCTTTTTTTTATCAGAAACAAACAACTTTAGTAACAAGCAGGAGGCTAGGTGAATGTTGGGGGCTGCATGTGGCCCAGACGATGCCAAACCACCTTTAGCTACCTCATAAAGTTGGAGGCTAATGATATCAGTGTGTTCTGGACAGGGGAGCGCTGATTCCTGGCAACTGTAAACTGCACAGCATCTCGACCGCAAACCTCAGTCCGTCTTCCAGAACCATCTCTCTAAGAGTGACCTCAAAGTCCTTTCAAGTGACCTCATGTTTGACCTGGTGATACAATTGACTATAAAGACCTAACGTGTGTTTTATTTGTCTTTGATGCGTGTAATGAGTCGTGCCTAAGTACTTTCAAGATTGTGAATGTTGACTCGAGCTGGCGTCTGCCTCAGCGGTCTGCTCTTTAATAGTAGGATGAGGTTCTTCTAACTTTCCCCAAGGCTAAAAGAGAAGCAGACGAATTTCCTGTGTGTTTATGCTATAATAATACTGCTTCAATGATGACACGGAGGTCCTGCTGCAAGAGAACGGCTGGGGAGATGTGTGAGAAAAGACATATGAGCTCTTGGGGTTTTCTCTGTCTGACTGTACTGTCCTGTAAATCAAACCCAATGTGGTTTGAGATTCTTTACTATAGGAAAAGTTACAGCAGACTGTTATTGACTTATGGAGTGAGTAGGGTTGCAAAATTAATCACAATCAAAACGCAATTTTAGTGGCTGTATTTAGCAAGTAATTTGCAAACAAATAAGGGATCATGTTTTTGAAAAATAGTAAACGTTTCCATTTTCCATGAATCTTCAGTCTTATTTTCAGCACAGTAGCATTTATTTGATCCAATCCAGGTCAGTAATTATTTCAGTTTCAATGTAATTATATATCGTGATTCGAATCGCAATCACAATGTTTGCGATTCGATATTAAGCAAGATATGTCCAGCCCTAGTAATGAGGGATTTGTATATGTTTTCTGCTAGAAGATGACGAAAGTGTACTTGTAAACTCGTGTATGCCCACAAAGTCCAAATAATTATCTTATATCCTCCATACACAACTTCCTCCCAAAAAATAATATGAAATATATGAAATTGTGATCTCTAAAATCTTTTTACAGCGCTAAATTGACTGTATCGCCAGAAATGCATTTTAAATCAGAGCACTTTAGATCTATGAATAAACATGTAAAATCCATCACATAGAGTTGTCATCTTATATAAAATAAATCCAGTACAATCACGTTATTTAAAAGTTTAAATGAGAAACAAATATTGTATCGATATATATTCCAATACCGATATATTGAGTACGAGCCCTTGCTTACCTTTGATTCAGCCGGCATTGGCGACGAAGACTTGGAGTACTGGTCGTGTGAGGAGGAGATGAAGCCCGAGTCGTGGGAGGAGATGCTGGGGAGGCGCGCTGGGGTTGGCTGGGGGAGCGTGGAGCTACGGTGGCGGTTGCGTGGGTGATGGAGGTGGAAAAGGTGGTGGGAGGAAGAGGAGGAAGAAGAGGAGGAAGGAGAGTGAGAATGGGACCCACTGGAGCCCCTGGAGTCACTACTGTTCACGCTGTTCAGGCTACTGTCAAAGCGCAAGTGGTACAGGAAAGCAGGAGTGCCCAAGAAGTGAATTTAAGAAGCAAAACAGGGATTTTAGAACAAAGATGGAGAATTGGGGTGGGGAAGAGTAGAGAAGACAGGGAGGACACCATTAACACGGCAAACCAAGATGCAGCAGGCAAATTTGTCAACTAGGGATGGGACGATAACTGGTATATACTGTGAAATCAATCCAGTGATGATGGAAAGGTATATAAAGAGTAGGTTTGTGGAAAATATTTACAGGCTGAGGCTAGTTAGGCTGAGGTTTGTAATTTTCAAACCACAACAATGGAACTATGTAATAAAATACATGACACTGGTTCCTGGCTCTAAAACGGTTTGGTTCAATCACTAGCACATGCATGTATATTACGTCTTTAGTTCATCTTTTTCAGACTGAAAAGTGAAAGGAGAAGACCACCCTCACTCAGCTCTCAGCCTCTTTTTCTTACAACTTTGCAAAAAACACAAGAAGAATACAGCTTGTTGTGTTCTTTCTGTTGGACAACCTGCATGTATATCGTTTATGAGGAATTGAGGGTAAAAGGTATGTAATCCAAAAAAATATTAACCAAGAATAATATTGGTTCCATATCATGCCAAGATATTAACACTAACAAACACATAACAGATCCATGCATCCCGTTATTCAGTGATGGAGACTTGTTTAGCTATGAACAACCAGACACAACAATTAATATATACTCTTTTTGATTTATAACTGATGAACGGATGAAACAATATATTTTGGGTCGCCACATTTATTGTCAGTACATTTTATTTACAAAAGTGAAGAGATTCTTCTATGTAACAAGTTTTATCTGTAGATGACTAATGATTAATATTACTTTCTGTTTCTTTTCATAACACACACTATTTACACTATTTAGCAGTAGCATTAAGTAATTTTGATATTATTGTTAATGGTAATCATAAATCGGCATATTGTCTATAAAAAAGGTGGTTGTCATGACAGGGGTACTGCACAGTTGAAGAGCGGAGAACTAAAGAGCAACACAAGCACATGTGTTGCAAACCTTATCATGATATAACACCACAATATGCCATTTTTACAACAATTCTTTTGAGGAAACTCATAACGTCCCATCTCTAGTCACACGCCACAAAATTAAAACAACAGTAATTACAGGCCTTAGTAATTCTGCTTTGAGGAGTAATTTGGAATTTTGATTAAACAGCCACATCATTGCTAAACGAACAGTGCATAACAAGCGATCTACTGTGTATACTTGATAAAAAACTGTTGCGCCAAAGCATGTTGATGGATGTATAATTAAAGACGCAGAACGTTTAGCCCATAAAAGTTCCCAGAAATTAAAGGGAAGCAACGTAATTATCCAAAAGCAGAAAGGAAATTATCTTAGAGCCAACACATTTCTTGCCAGTAGAAGAACACCATAAGAGCAGAGGGAAACACTAGCATTGCTTATTTTTTCATGTATTCACGTCAGGAGTTAAATGTGGGGTTTTTAAGTTCACCACTAGGGGGGAGTGAACAGCAGGGAACTAAACTGACTCTCGCACTGGCTATGCTTTATCTGGGCTTTCATATTTGGACAAAACATATATTGTATCAATATTTGCTCCCTCTGCTCTTGGTGACATGTAAGTGGAATAACTAGATTTAGCTGAAAAGGCTCCTGTGTTCCCTTGAAAGTAGCCGTTAGTAATGTGGAACAGTAGAGGCCTATACCTGCACATGCTGGACTTTCTGGACACAGTGGAGCTTGGAGAAGAAGGCGGTGTCTGATAGGACCAAGTAAAGTCTGAGCCCTTCATATCGAGAATCACCTGAGGGAAAGGAAAGTGGTTTATGGTTTAAATGTTTAATAGTTGAAAACCAATTGAACAGTTTTATTCTGTATATTGGATATTTTCACCTGCTCGCTGGAGGCCGGGAGTTTGTGCGGATCAGAGGTCAAGGCTTTGAGGTCATCAGAAATAGCCTGGAGGTGAGTGACCTCTCCCAGCATGGAAATCTCCTCATCCTAAAGACAACAAAGAAATGTAATAATTGCAGTCATCATTTATACATTTTTAAGTCAGCTCTATGATTTGCTGGTTCAGCTGATATCCTTTTTTTCCTCCTAAAGCCTCAAAAATTCTGTAAAAACACTACAACTGAATCTGTCTGAAAACCCTTTGCAGTACTGTACAACAAATGGCTGGACTCTTTGTGAAGCTGGGCTTCTGTAGTTTTGGCATCCTGATAACTCATTTACTCTAATTACAAGTGGGAACAATCCCTGCACATAAAAAGAAAAAACGTCCTTGTCCGCCTACATTTTCCATGGTAAATATAAAGGAGGGGACAAAGGAGCTGTTGTCAGGGGATAGGATTTAGTTCACATTTTGGGTTTGAACAATTCCACTTTCACAGTGAAAGCAAATGTCACTGAAAATGTGATTGAGGGACCTGTAATAAAGTAATAATCTCCAGGCAGAACCCATGTTATAACTCCATTAACAACCTTTTTATGTTGTGAGAATGGGGCTCATTCAAATTGGACTCATTCAAACCACATTCATCTGAGAATGTATGAATTTCCTAAGATATTTCGAAACATCACTGACTGGACTGATAAGTGTTGATTTTTGTACATTCAGAGATCTGCACTCACCACTACAGGCTGGAGAAGGGCCACAAAACAGCAGAACCTCTGCCTGTCCTCAATCAGAACCTTTCTCAGAGCCTGCTTCTCTGTCTCTTCCAGCAGAATGTATTTATCACTGACATCCTGCATCGCACTGTCCAACTGCGGTTGAAAATCTCCACGACCTTGAGAAACAAAGCACAGCTGTTATCACCCTAAGTCTAAGAGTCTAAACTAGCCTAAACTATAGCATGCAAATCAAGAAATTAAATCATGAGATGGAAACTTCCATTTGGTCACACCATGTTATTTGAATTAATGATATTGGAAAAAGGTGATATGCGATAGTGGTGTTAAGGACTGTGATAAAGATATATTTTGCAATGTTTTCCTTCCACAAAGAAATCAATCTTCATGTTGGAATGGCAGTGTTTTTCATCTCTGCTAGTGCAATGCTGTGCTGTGTTCTTTATGCAACAAGAGTCTATGGGCTCTTGCAGTAAATGGCTTTTTATTATACATTAATATTGCACAAGCTTTTTCAATGCGATATATTTTATATATTTTTGTATTGTGCAGGCCTAATTTGAATACAATTTTGTAATAAAGTTTTTAATAATGCTAGCCCTACTATTGTCTGTATCTTGAGGGGTCTTTGATAAGCACTGTTGTTTGTAAGTGTTCTTAAAGCGGGTTAAGAGTAGAGATTGTGCATATAGTCAAGTATGTGAAGAGGGGCGACCCTGGGGCTAAATCAAAGCCTCTTGATGGAGGCAGGAAGGCTGGCGACGGCCCAGACCATTGTATACAAGCATTATCTACTCACTGTACTTCAGGTCTTACACAGACAAGACCAACTTTGATAAAACTAAGCCACAAGAATAACTGTGGCCTCATGAGCCTGGGGCCAAATGATCAACTATTGTCTTAGCATGACATTTGACACATATGTTGTGCAAATCAATAGTTAAAAACAGAGATAAGTTTTCATAGGGAATGGAAAAAGACCCCCCTTTATCAAGAGCAAAATGCAATGATGAACCACTGTTTCCCAGACCACAGCGCACTGCAAATGACCAGGAAGCATTATTTAAATCTGCAAATTGCGAATGGAAAAGAGAATGAGTGGAAACCATGCTGCCATAATGTATCCGCCTAAATTAAATTAGATGACTGTGATTACATCTGACTGAAATTATAAAAACAGATTTGGTAAAATTGTATTTTGTTTTACTTTGAGCTTAAGCCAACTTTGCTTTAGAAGCTTTCTTCATTATTGTATTTTTCTTAAGCCGGAGATTACATGTTTCAAATTGTACATATTTAATAACATTCCACTCAAAAGGAAATTAGTTAATTAAAGGATTAGCTGCAAAGAATACAGCATTTTGAACCAAGTTATCAAGAGCATTTTGTTATTGTTGACAAAACAAATTTAATTTCCATTTCAGGGGTTTGTTGGTATCTGTGGAATGAGTTTTGTCTGGTTTTTGTGGTTTAACAAATGAGAAAATACTTTATTACTGGCCAGAGACAGTGTGCAGCGGTCACAAAATGTACAATAAACTTACAGAGGAAAATATAGTGAAAGTCAGGACCCAGGTTTTTAAATCTGATTGTACTTTCTGTATTTATTTTTCTTAATGCAGTTCACAATAGAACAACGTTCTAATCAAAAAGACAATCAAGATGTTTGTTTTTGTTCTCCACTCAAGAATCTCTTTAAACATTATAGAAATCACCTGAAAATGTTGTCAAAAACTCACAGGGTGTTATGTAAGCCCATGTACTTGCCCACACAAATGAGATTAGCTTTTTCCAGTTTTCACATGACAAATGATTTCATTAGATTGGAGGCGGGACCACGGCTAAAGGCTCAGGGTAAGACGATAACTGAGGTGTTGTGTTTCTTAAGTCCTAACATGACAATAGGAAACCCATATTGCTCAAACAAATATGTCACCCTAGTTTACTATATGTTTGTCCAATAATAACATTACTGTGCTACATAAAAATACTGGGGTAAAAGAAATGTTGATTCCCTTTAACTTAACTCTTAAAGATCCCATATTAAACTTTTGGACTTTTCTCTGCTATAACCATCATCACAGGGCAATGTGCCCTTCAAACACATGCCCTATTGATGCCCTCAAGCTTTAGTTAGTGAGCGATCTTTCTCTTTCATTCTCGAGAGGCAACATCCCGGGTCAAAATCTATGATGCGCTCAGAAGCTTGTTTAAAATGGTTCTAAAATAATGTCAAAACAGGGAAAACAATACATATGATATGATGTTGTTGTCCAATAATAAAGACAATAATATTAAAATCCAGGAGGCTATTGACAAATCAAAACAGCGAATCAGCGCGCAGAGCCTCTCCCGAGTCCAGCGTATGGTCTTGCCTATACCACATGGAGCTATACTGTTTTTCCTGCTATTGTCAGCGACTAAAAGTGTTAGCATCATGTTAACTTAGAGTGCAATATGGGACTTTTAAATAACATATTATCTGAACATTGTTGACCGTTAATCCAATAGTGACATTGTTACGGCGGTACTTCAAGAGTAGTTTTAACAGAGAGACACATAGTGAACAGATTCATAAAAATATGAATCCAGATCCAAAAAGATAAACAAAAAGTACAAACTACATCTGTGAGAGAAACGAGAGATGCCTCTAATGACTACATTTGACTAGAATAAATAACATTTTAGTCTCTTTAGTGTGGGCATTAATGAACCTGTCCCGGACTTAAACTTACCCCAAGTGTCAGCTGGACAGGGAAGATGGGAACCACATGGGGACAAGGAGAGGAAAAACATGTCTGTCACTTTGATGGACACAAAAATGTCTTCACTTGTCAAATTTCTCACATTTTTCTTCATTTTCTCTTTTCATGATGCTTTGTGTCTTGTGTGGAGCGTATTTTTACAGGTAGATGAATATGTTTATAGAGGACGGTTGCACAGGGGTGAGGGAGGGCCTTCCACAGTGTTTTCCATGTAAGGTAATGTTTAAACAGAAGGCTAATCGCGAAGGCCAAACTGCTGTCGAATAAATATACCCATAATTCTAGTCTGCTTTCCCTGCACTCTGCCACGAAACTGTTTCACTCTGACACAAACACAGGTCATGTGTTTACCTTTCTTCGCTTTCTTCTGAAGTTTGAGTGTGTCTGAAGACTTCTTCTTTATTTCTTGGCGGGCTCTCTTATACTCTGATTAAGAAATGTAACAAGATTGTGTTTACTTGAGAGAGCCGCACCTGTTAGTACAATAATACAAGCAGAAATATTTGATTTTACCTTTTGCGTGGTCCTTGTCCAAAGAGTTGAGTCCCCGTTTCCACTCCTCCATCTGTTCTTGTAAAGGACCTAGCAGACCCTCCATGAACACCCTGACAGCCAAGACATCATTTACAATTAGAAACATTTTTGTCCAATTATTTCCTGTAACAAACTAGTAACCATTTAGGCACCAGAGAAAAAAAAAGACTTAAAGGTTCTAAATCCATAAGATTAATATATCAAAAATATGTACTAAAATTTAGGAAAACATTTGAGAGAAGCCAGGTCACTGTAAAGAATTTTTTGTGGATTGAGGCTACTTTGACACCTAAAGGGTTAAATACTATTAAGAAGAATTAGTTCAAAACAATATCTTAGATTGGGCAAATATTTAAGTTCTTTGTTAGCTTGTCATGACAGGTAATTTTTGCAAAAACATTGAGTTGTTGTTTTGCCTGAGTGAGCTCTTTTCAGCACCTTCACAGTGCATTTAGATTCACTCTGACTCAGTAATATATCAAACAGAAGTGATGATAATAAAGAGGATATTTAAGCCTGTTGTCGTCTTTCTATCTGACCAGACTCTACTCGTGTTTGTCAAATATTAACTGCGAGGGTGAGTGTCTAACAGCATGTCACAGGAGGAAACAGGGGTCTTGCAGTGCAGTCCGTCAATCATTACCCTGTGCCCGTCTCCCTGGGTTGTGGCGTTGTTTAAGAGGTTGGGAGCTGGGCAGCTGCAGGATCAGATCTATGAAACTAAAAATAGGCTTCTCCATCTTGCAGACATTTTCTACACAAGAGTGCGTCTGTGCCAGTGGGTGGGTGCTGACCACAGCCCCCCTATGTCCAGACCCTGCTATGGAGATCCATGTGGAATCTCTCCTGAAATGCCACTCGAAATTAAGAGGGCCCTTGTCCGCCCTGTGTGCGTGGGACAACACTGACACATTACAGATGCTCACAGCTCCAGACAAACGCTCTCTTTTTATGAATCTTGATACACAGGGCGTTTTACTAGAGCAGGCGCTTGCAAAATATTCACAAACCACAAGTCCCTATACAATATGTTGGCGTGAACTCTAAGGGGGTGGGATCATGCTATGGATTATAAACACGGACAAAAGCTGGGAATGACCACAATCTTTCTAAATATTTAACGAAACAGAGCCTTAACAAGTTAAACAAATACTCAACACATGGAATACATTATATCACATAAAGCAAGATTTATCTTACATGGAGAAATGCTTCAGTTTGGCCTCAATGCTGCGATGCCTCATACACATCCTGGTGAGGGCAGACCCAATGTCTCTGGTTCCACCTAAAAAAAAAACAACACATGGATTTGAACAAACACTATGTAGCTTAAACCATGTCTTTGGTCGTCCTCCAACAACAATCTGGAAGTTACCAATTTCAAACTGGTGTCTATTTCATGAAGTGAGTCTATCCAACTGCCCATTAAATAGTTGTATTACTTTGGTAATAGGTATAATATTTGACAACTTGAGAAGAACATAAGGGGTGTGAAAAAAGTAGAGTAGGAGGAGAAGTTCAGACACCAAGATCTCTGAACACATGTTCTGCGACCAATCACTATTGACTAAAGCACAGGATGGAATCAGTGCTTTTCATATACAAACGGGATGCAGTGATCCTCCCCAACAGGGCCCTCCATTCTGCTGCCAGCATAGACTCTACTTCATGCGGAGTCTTGCACACAGAGCTGTCAGTCACTCCCAAAAGCCACACACTGAGGTCTATAAGTCATATACGTTTATCTGTCACCGAGCCAGTCAAATGTGACCAGCAGTTAATGAATAATTCTTTAGTCACACAGTGCATGATCCTACATAATGGTTAAGAAAAAAAGTGAAAGTAAATACTTCATTGTTAACTGATATAGGATAGAATTTACTGGCAGGCCCTATGTGCCCATAAAATCCAAACTTTGACCCAATCATCTGTGTGTCTATAGTATTCCGAGAACTTGTTATCGCAATGGGTGTGACAACTGAACTAAAAAGTCCTTTTTGTTACTCAATGCTATAGTGTGCCTTCCTTCATGCATTAGCTTGTTTAGTCATTCTATATCCAGATTTTTATTAGTATTTGATTCCCAGGCTGTTTATCGAAGGTGGGGTCAAAACTATATTGTAGAGCTGCATGGAGTCTGCAAGAAACGTGAAACTCCAAAAAGAACCATTTCTTACAGGGCCACATGTCTCAACCATGACTACTGCAGATCAGGAGAAGACTTGGGTTTCAACACATCACTCAGCAGGAGCTGGGACGCGCCACACCCACTTCCACTTCTGGATTTGATATGAGGCAAACGACTAGAGATGAGACAATCAGCTGCAAGCTATATACACAGGTGGAGGCCAGAGAGTGTGAGGTTACAGTCAAAGAGTTCAGGAAATTATAGTCGACTTCATTTCCATCCCATTAAATCTTCCTTGAAATAGACATTTAGCAAAGAAGAGATGGGACTAAAGGTAAGAAGAAAAAAAAATAACATTAATATTCAGTTTGAAAAAACTGGTCACTGGGGAAGGCAAATGTGTGTTTCAGCATAAATTCGACAAACAACAGAAATACTGTCAACACTTCTCGAATCTCACTAAATTATCAAATTATTGTAGGAAAGTAAGTGAATGAGACAATAATAACAAAACAAAAAATATTGGGACTTGGACAGTATTCTATAAGTTGGCTTACTATTTGGGATGTTGCCGATGAAAAAGATGAAGTGACACAGAAAGCACGGTCAAGTCAGACTAGCACTAAGTGACCTCTGGATGCAAATAGCTCCTTTGGCAGCTCCAGTTGTCTGCAGCACACAGGCCACAGTTTCATGTCTGTGTAGTGGCATAGCTTGATGTCAATAGGAACGCTCTTGGTGACAGAGGTTTGCAAGGCTTATAATTATGTCTGCAACACTTGGAAGAAGACAAACAACAGTCACGATCATGTTTACAACTTGCACTGACTCAAATGTGTTACACGTGAGTCAGCCAGCGTGAAACATTATTAGGCCATTTGCAACAGCCATGCTTGTCAAACTTTTCACACTATGCATCAGGTTAAAAGTGCTCTAACTTTCCAAGTACATGTACCTACATATTTTCAAAGACCAAAAGAAGCCTACAAAGAAGTCTTTTGACTGCAAAAGACTAAATTATAAAGGCCGTCAGCAGATTTGTTCACAAGACTGCAAACACAAATGCATTTAAAAAGTGTTTAATATTGCATATTGTGATTCTCTATGCAAAGCTTGTCGATGTGTTTGATCCAGTCATTTAAAGTAAACGATACATTTTACCTAGTGGGAAAAACCATTGTGCCATATGGCTAAATTGTGTGTGGGAACGGTGCAAGGGGACATTTGTGACAGAGGTGTGTGAACAGGGGTCAGCAGCAGCATGGCCACTCCATGTCAGGTTGCTGAGGCTGTCTCCGTCTTTAACACAGTCCCAGACTCCCCCAGGAATGTCACACGGCACTGACACTCTTAAACCCTTAAGACATGCACTCGCCCTCGTACATCTGCTGCACCAAATATATACAATACTGTCACTCTTGGCATATTCGGGTAAACAAAATGTCTCCCTGAAATTATTATTATTAGTAGTAGTTGAAAATTTATAAAAGCATGTATTCTTACAATGAGCAGGTTTGCATCTTTACATCCTCATATACCAAGTAAAGCTTAACCATCACCATGGAAAAGATTTCATTTTTATCAGAATCCTGCAAATTACATAATACCAGGTTGCATTAGGTTGCTTAAAGTCATATTTGAGAAAATGTACACATTGGAAAGCTGCAGGGAATGAGTATACCTATAATCTCTAACCAGTACAATACACAAAATAGTGTTAGTATTAGATAGCAATATGGCCTACGTGCAGGACTCTACAAGGACTCTGATTATTTTGACTATGATGTGACTGTCTCTGTGTGACACGTATGTCTTTCCATGTGTGACGTGACAATGACTATATAAACTGTGTACTGACTCCATTTTGTCTGAGAGAAGGAAACAATGGAAACCACTGGAACTTGAGAGAAACTTAAATAAACTTCCAGAGTTTGGCGCACCACGATCCGTCTCTGTCTGCTTCATTCCTGACAATAGAAAGCAGATTATTTCATGAAGCATTGATATTCACTTAACTGATGAGTGTAACACAAACAGTGCAACAGGAAACCATCAATAAGGGATCAACAAGAAGGCTCTGGCACCAACATAATACAAGATACATTACATAATATGTCCCAATACTGTTCAGCAGCCATTTTATCTGCTGACAACTACACACAGTGGTTTGACTTACATTAAATCTAATTTGGTTTCATTGCCAGATAACATATCACTTTTATATTTTCTAGATAAAGTAATTTTTCAGAGAGAGACGTTCTTGACTATAATTCAGAGTCCAATGGGAGTGGAAAGAGGGATTTGCCCAAAGAATTCCTTGTGAATCTGAGAAGCTTGGTAGCAAAACCCGGCTCTGTATGGGCACCAGATGGTAGCCATTACTGTGGGCCAGTGGTTACAGTGATAAGAGACTAGAGTCCATGCAGCTGGACACACACACACACACACACACACAGAGCCAAGCTAATTAGAGAGCCAGAGAAAGTAGAAGGCACAGTCCACACCGGTTTGGCAAAGCTTAAAAACGTGTCCATGGCTTTCGATCAGAAACACCTGCTGCTTATATTTTATGAATCAAACATAAAACTATGCTATCTCGCTGTGATACTACCCTATAAACAGCTGTATTGTAATAAAGAAAAAACACTGACTCGATTCATTCTAGCTAAAAAGAAAAATACAATCATAAATATAACTTAAAGACATGTACTCTGAGACACTACGTCCGAGCTGAGCAGTTGGTGTAACCAGATGGAGCCACCCACAGTGCACCGCTTAAGGCTGGCATTTCTTTCATTGATTTATTTGTCTACCCTTTGAGTCTGCAAGTCTAACATAACTTTCAGCACTTCAGCACAAAACAGTAGATAGCAAGAAAAAACAAAACAAATAAGCGGATGGTGTGATAACATAGATCAAAATACTGAAATTAACTCACTCTATAGCACTGACCAAGTTTACAGGAACTGCACCGAACCTCCCAGGTCACTCATTGCTCTTGACACATGAATACCCAAAGAATGTTGAAGGATGGGCCAAATACCGATAGGACAATAAAGAGAACATATAGACTAGACATATGTAGGGAAATTTGTCTGCATTTTACCCAATCCCTCCCCTTCTGGGGCAACCTGTCAGGAACAGCGCAGTGCCTGGGGACTCATCTCCAGATGTTGATGCTTGACTTGTTCAGGACCTTCGCTGGAGGATATTCCCTATGGTTCCTGTTTTGTGTTGACAGGGGAATCAAGAGTGCCGGGGGATAACAGCATCAAGACATGGAAAGAAACAGGCGAACTCCAGACAGAAAGGCCAGATCCTTGTTGTTTACTACTGCCATATTTTATTAAAGAGTTGATTTAGCATTTTATGTCTTAACCTTTAATGTAAATATAATTGAAATACAGCGGGAAAAGTAATCACATTTTGGACAGGCTTTGATTGTCAATTGTTGGTAATGAGTGTAGTAGACATTCATTCATCAGAGGCTGCTGACAGAAAGTCTTCATGGTTGTTTAACACAGTCCAGTCAGCAAGTCTAGCCTCCTCATCTCAGATCCCAACAAATGCAAACGTGTGGGCGAACAAACACAAGTGCACCTGCTTCTAACACACATGCTCTGGCTCCAGCTGTCACTGAGACGTGAAGAGGAGGAGACTCAGGGGACACTAGAAATGTACAACACAATATCTGCAAAGACAGTCGCCTTGACTGTAAAAGATGGCACTATAAAATATGACATCCTGCCAACTGCTTTTGAAACGGAAGAGGAGAGTAGGGCTGGGTTCTCTGTGCAAATATATTCAAATTACAGTGAAATTAACTTGTCACACCCCGTCACTGCGCAACCCATGAAATGAAGAACATACGCTATAATATCTAATACATTCCATCTATCAGGGAAAATGTTAGAACGAGATACGAAAGAGCTCCAACGCAAACTCATCTGATCCAATAGATGATGATGTGGTTTGGACGACCCTATCATTGTTGCTGTGACATGTTGTTTTTTCCTTGAAGTCAAAATTGTAGAGTAACTTCATATGTAAAGAAATCTGTCTTCATAAGTAGGCTTTAAATTTTTTTATTTTAAAGCAATATTTTTGTCTGTCAAGGATCAAAGAGAAAACCAGCTCTCAAATCTCTAGTATGACAG